TTGTCCTTTTTGAGACCGGCCGCACCGCACTCAGCCAGTGAGCGCTGTGAGCGCACCGGTCATCCCTATATAGGATCCGAACCCGCGGCGGGAGCGCTGCTGCGCTCCCAGCGCCACACTCTCCTGAGTGCGCCACGGGCTCGGCCCTGGGGGGTGGTTTTTCAGGAGACAGGGCCTCCAAGGCCTGTCCACACTGCCTGGGGCATGTCTGGGTCCAGGAGTCCACTCCCTTGTCTACCCCCACCCCTGCTCACCTCTTCCCTGAAGGGCAGGGGGGGCACAGTGGGGTCCAAGCGGAACATGTCCTCACACAGCAGAGCTCGTAGGCACAGCGCCAGGCTCTCCACATCCCGGGCTATGGGGCCGATGGAGAAGGGCACTGTGGGGCAAGGAGGGAAGAGGGTCACCTGGCCCCAGTGCATTCTGGGGCTGGGTTCAAATGAGGGCTGAGCCATGGCCCAGGAGTGTGACCAACACAAGGAGGTAGGAACTCAGACCTGGAGTGGCCTGGGGGCCAGACACTGCCCACCAGAGAAGCAGGAGCAGAGGTGGATCAGACCAACCCCACCCTCCTCCAGGGCACTGAGGGAATCACAGACCTCACCTGCCACCTGTCCATAGACACAACCCTTTAGGCCACTCCGGCTGGATAAGAAACAGAAGACATGAGAAACAGGAAATAGCCACCCTCTGCCCACCCCTGTGCCCATACAGCAGCTCTGAGCTCTTGTCATTTTGGAAACCAGGAACCACACATGCTGGTGGTGCTGTGATGATCTGTCCTAGCAAAGTCAGGGTGAGTGAATCCCTGCATGGAGCCCAGAGAGGTTGGAAGCTAGGCCAAGGTCACACAGTGAGGTCAGAAGCTCCCTTCACCCACCATACCTGAGGCGGTTCGCTGTGGGCTTGAGGCCGCAGATGCCACAGAAGGCGGAAGGGAAGCGGATGCTGCCTCCGATGTCAGTGCCTAAGCCCAAGGGGGAGCCTCCAGACCCGATGAGGGCCCCCTCGCCCCCTGAGGAGCCACCTGGGCTCTTGGAGGACTTCCACGGGTTCACGGTCGGGCCAAAGAGGGGGTTACTGCAGTCATAGCTGGAGGAAGCAGAAAAGGATCAACCTGTGTCTTGCTGGCACTGGTGCCCTACCCACCCCACACCCAAGGCCCAACCTCAGCATGGATTGGGGCACGTTGGTGTGCACGAAGGGCACGGCGCCCTGCAGCTTCAGCACCTGCACCACCACGCAGTCGCACTCTGCTGGCACCCCCTCGTTCAGGCTCAAGCCCAATGTCGAGTCCTGGTCCTGGAAGGAGGGATGGGCACCAAGAGGGAAGTGGTCCATGAGTCAGGACCCTCCAGCAGCCCAACATCTACTCCCACCACCATCAGGGCAAGGCAAGTCACACCATGGTCCCCTCTCAAGACCTCTGGACCTGATACTTCCCAAAGTGACCCAGGACACAGAGCTGGCTGGCAGAGATGGAGTGGGGGAGCGGAGGCCTGGTACCGAGGCATGGCACACCTTGTAGCTGAAGCACTCCTTGAGGCTTACAGGGACGCCATACAGCATTCCCTGCCTTGGGGCCTGGGACAGCTGAGTCTCACAGTCAGCCAGGTAGGAGGTCACACAGTTGGTTCTTTTGTTCACTTCCCAGGCCTAGGGGAAGAGAAATAGACACAAGGTAGAGTGAAGCTGGTCTCTTTTTTTAATTGTGGTAAAATACAGTATACATCATATAAAACTGGCCTTTTACAGGATACCCAGGAAAAGGGTAACCAGCAACATCGCCCAGAACTAGGAACACAAGGGTGACCTAGGACCCAGCACCCACCTCATAGGGGACATTTGGATCTAGCCTCACTCTGGCTATCTCTAGCTTTCAACCCCAAGAAAGAAAGAGAGAAAGAGAGAGAGAGGCAGAAAAAGAGAGAAGAACAAATTCCCAGGGCCAGGGCACTCAAAGGGGCAAGATACTGGCCTCTGATGCCCCCCAGCAGTGGTGAACTGGGAAGAAGATGACCATTGGCCACTCCCCCACTTCCTCCAAGCCACATCTCTGCCCAGTGGGGCAGACGGGAACCAGACAGGGCCAGACCCCCATCTCAGGTCATGCTGGGGGTCAGCCACAGAGCAGGGCTAGACCCAGACCCCAGCCCTCTCTCCTCTGGCCCACGCCCAGCCCAGCCAAACCTCCCCTTTCCCAGAAACGCTTGAACTTGATAATCAAGTCAGTAAAGGGGACTAAAAGGAAGGAATTATCAATAGTGACTATCTGCCTAGAGGGCTTGAACCACACCCCACAGGGTCTATGGAGGAAAAGGCCAGGGTAGAATGAGGTGCAGCTGTTAGTATTCCTGCTCCTGTGAAACGGCAGTGGAAAACAGGATAGGTTGTGTTGCCGCACCCTGCCATATGCAAAATCTGCTCCCAGGCTACCCAATGCAGGAAGGGAGGAGGCCAAGCTATAACCAGAACGCTCTCTTGTGGTTGACTAGGAAGGTCAGGCACCTCTTCAGGGACACTGAAGGAAAGACCACCACCATCTGCTAAGACTGTACCAGCGAACTTCCAGTTCACGGAGAGATTTGCAATATCTTTTAATTCTGTTTTTCCACAACTCTTTGACGTACCCTCATATATGTCGCCTCTTTGGGTGACACTAGTCCAGCATGGGCTCTCCCTCACCCTGTCTCAGCTGTAGTCACAACACTGTCATATACACGGTCACCGTGACATGTTCCTTGCTTAGGGATCATACTCACGATCACATACTCTTTCAAGAACCCATGCAGGTCAAATTCATAAAGCATAAATTTGTCCTTCCTTTTTTCCTGTCTCTTCTTTCTTTCTTTTCAGACATATTTTGAGCACTTATAATGTGAAAGACAATGTATTCAGCAGCAAGGTTCAAAGACAAATAAGACAAGCTGTGTCCACAAAGAGCCCACAGTGGACACAAGCAGGAGACAGAGAAGACAAGGCAGATTTGCAATGAGGAACATTCAGTTAGAAAGTGAGAGGGAGCACCCAAGAGACAACCCTAACTCTCAGGGAGGCTTCCTGAAAGACATACCTCCTGCTCTCAGCCCTGAAGGCTCAGCCAGGGGAGCCTGTGACACAAAGGAGGCAAAGAGACTTCCAGGTAAAAGGAGCCCCACACAAGCCCGTGAAGAGCCCAGCTGCAGAGGAACAGAAGAGTGAGGCCTGAAGAACTGGCCTGAGAGGGCACCTGGCCAGGAGGCTGGTGCTTGGGCATGGAGGGAGATGGTGGTGGAGGGCCAGGGCAGCTGAAGGCAGATGGAGACAAGGGGAGGGGCTGGGGAGACGTATAAGAAGGAACAGACCAGACTTGGTGGAGGCGGCAGGGAGAGGGAAGTCTGGGCAGAGAGCCAGGTTTCCAGCTCAGACAACATCCCGGTGTCACACGCGCACACGCACACACTTGCAGCGCTCTGGCTCCTTCCCTCTCTGGCAGGCCCTGGCACTGTGGTCCTACCGTGGCCCTCAGAAGGACTAACTCCAGGCCATTCCCCACAGCCTGTGGAGAGGGAAAGGGAGAGAGAGAAGAGGAGGAGAAGGGGACAGGAAGGATCACAGGACGGGCCTTACCTTTCCCACCTTACCTTTCCCACATAGGTGAAGAGGGCAGCCTCAGGGGACAACTCCCCACTGTGTAACTTCTGCACCAGCTGAGGCAGGGGCAGGGCCAGCAGCGCCTCCAAGTCCAGGTCAGGGTTCTTTGGGGGACACACTAGGATCAGTCCCCCACTCCCTGAAGGCCCCACATGCCTGTAGCAGACACATGTGGCCCATACCCCTCAGTCCCCACATGTAGCCAAGCAGATGCTCACTGTCATGTGCCAATCCATGACAAATGTGCCCATCCTGCCAGAGGGGGTACCCAGGGAGATGCCATGCACAGGCCGATTATTAAACTATTACAAATAACTGCCCTCAATGGCTGCCTGCTGTGTGCCAGGCACTGTGCTGATGCGCTCCGTCAGTGTGATTAAATCTTACTTCCACTCCCATTGCACAGATAAAGAAACTGAGGCTTAGAGAGAGGCACTGCCTTGCCTAGGTAAACTGTAGTGCTCTGCCCTCCCAGCATGGGCAAAACAAGAAGACCCCATCCTGGGTGGCTGGGCCTGTAGCTGGAGGCCACACCCAAAAGGGAAGATTTATACACTCATTCCACAGTTAGGTATTGTACACCTGCTCTGTACCAAGCTCCACACTAGTGTGGGAGTCAGGAGTGAACACAAAGCCATGCCCGTGGCAGCAGGGACCCAGGTCAGCAGATAAGTCACAGTAAACAAATAAGAACTTTAGATAGTGAGAAATGACTTAAAGAAAAAAAAAGAGGGTGCAGTGAGTGAGCAGCCCACCTGGGTAAGGTGGGCAGGGAAGAGCTCTGAAGGGCGAAGGCATTTGAGCAGATCCTCTGCTGCCAGGCCTCGAGGGTTCCCAGAGCCTCTGGGGTCAGCCCCTGCCTGCAAACACCTGCCTGCTTCGTCCTCAGGGGTATTGGACCAACTGGTAAACACAGAGTCACAGCCACCACTCCTCACCCCACCTTCCCCTGCTCTTGCCTAGGCCAACAGAGACCTCCTTCTCGCCAAATCCAACAGGTGATTGACTCTTTCTCCGACTCCACGTCTCACTGAAGCATCCAAAGGTATTGAGCCCACATGCCCGCTCTCTGCAATTCCTCCTGGACGGGGAGACACCACACTCTCCTGGATTCCCTCCTGCCTCTCTGCTGCTACTTCTGCAACTCGTTTATTTAGTCAGTCAACAAACATGCTTTTAGCACCTACTATGTGCTAAGGACTATGTTAGGGGCTATAAATTTAGAGGTAACCAAGACAGACAAGGTCCCTGCTTTCAGAGAACATACATTCACAAAAATAAACAAGTTAAATAATAGGTCATGATAAGTGTGAGACAGCAGATAAACAGTGCTGTGATGTAATGACAGGATGACTTAGATGGAATGCGCAGGCCTGAAGCGACATTTCAGCTGTGATTTGAAGGATGAGAAGGAGCCAGATGTGAGGAGAGACAGAGACTCCTCAAGGTTGCCCTGGGCACATTCTCTGAGGCTGAGAGAAGGCCTTCCCTCCCCCGGCTTGCACGTGCCCTCTCTCTCTGGGCTCTCCACCTATCCCACAGCTCCTGCTCCTTCACCCAGCCCCACCCAGCTAAGCCCAAAGCAGCTCACTGGGCTAATCCTGTCACTTGCCACCCACCCCTCATGTCCTTCCCTCTGAGCTCATCACTTCCCCCATTCTTTTTTTTTTTTAGTGGCTAGCTGGTACGGGTATCCGAACCCTTGACCTTGGTGTTATAACATCCAGCTAACCAGCCAGCCCCCCTCCCCACTTTCAGTCAGCTCTTCCTCCAAGTACCTTGAACTCTCACACAGGGAAGGGCGTGGCCATCCATCCAGGTGTTCAGCTGAGAAAACAGGAGTCATTCTGGTTCCTCCCTCTCCTTCCCACCTGCACCTAGTCAGTCACCAAGCCCTCAGTAGCTCTGGAAAATGGCCACCTCCCCATCTCCTGTACCAAGACCCCTCATTGGGGTTCATCTTTTTCTCTTGGTTCACACAAGGGCCACCTAACTGCTGCTCTGCCCTAGCCTCGCCCCTCCAACCCACACTTCCTGCTGGGGCCAGAGAACACAAAGCCCAACCTGGCCTTGCCTCTCCCCTTAAAATCCCCATCACATCACACCACAAGCTCCAGAACATGTTCCAGGAGGTGCTTCTGGGCAGGGGTTCCGTGAGTCTCATCTACACCCTTCCCCACAATGTGCCACTGTGCTCTCACACCCACCACACTCCCAGAACAGACTGCCCCTCCACACACACACACCCTACAGCCTTTGCACCCAATTCTTCAATATCAAGAGCACTTCCCTGAATTTATTAAACTGATAAAACACTTTTTCTTTGGTGGCTGACCCCTACAGGGATTGAACCCTGGACCTTGGTGCTATCAGCACCATGCTCTAATCAACTGACCTAACCAGCCAGCCCTGGATTTTTTTTTTTTTTTTTAATACAGGAAACTACAAAGAAGAAAAAAATAGGTCTATGACCTCTCCCCAAACACACCCAATGATCCCTGTTGATATTTTTCTTAAAAGGTATACAAAATTAAAAGTGAGCCTTCCCTCTACCCCGTCTATCCTGCACAGTCCCTCTTCTAAAAGGAAAAAAGTTTATGAAAAATCCACAATGTATGAAGGTACTTCAAAAACTTCATCCCGAAAATGGAATTAAAAGATAGTACAAATCTTTCCATGAACTTTTGGAAGACCCCTTGTATACAGCTGTATTTTTGCACAAAGGGATCATGCTACACACATAGTACCCAGGCAAGACACATCTTGCCTGTCCCATCACACAATGAAAATAGAAACTTTGCTTTATTTTTTTATCTGCTTATGTAAATATGTGCTGATTATAAAAACAAATGCCTAAAAGAAAGTCAACATCAGCAGAGAGCCCACCACACTGGAATAATTACCACTGACAGTCTGGTCACCATCTCCTCCCACCACGCCTCAAAAGGTGCCCACAAGATCTCTGTGCATCAGCTGGCAGCATGCTCCCCTCCATTCTCAGCACAAATTTTCATTCTTGCTTATGTTCTTCCCTGTTGACAGCTGATGACACAGTTGCTAACAGCTACTTTTCAGTCTTCACCTAGTAACAGGCAGCTGAGACATTTTCTCTCTCACAAGACACCAAAGTCAGTCTGTACCTACAGGAGTCCAATATGTAAACATGGGGGAAGTTGATTCTGTGTGGAACATGCAGGGAAGTGTACAGATAACTTCTAACTAGTCAAACGTATGTATGTATACTTTTTCCAGAGAGGGATACTATACCTATCATTTATGTATCACCCCTCTTCCATCTATTTCTTTTTCTCCTTCTGAACCACCTATTGTCCTAATTTCAGGTCTCCTGGATTGTCCTCCATGTCTGTTTTCTTTTCCCTCACTTTTTTTTAATCACTTTTGTTCTGTTTCAAGATATTTCTTCCATTTGATCATGTAGGCCACTGATACTGGTCTCCACAATAACCGTGCACTCCTTCAATTCATCTACTGAATCATTTCATTTTAAAGTAATGTGCAAGGTAGGCTTGGAGAAGGCCAGGATACAGAACCACCGTTCAGATAAAGTTGAAGGACCTGGCATTGGTAATACTAGTGGGACTCTGATAAGCGGGTTGTAAGAGATGTGAAAAAGGGCATTCAGGGTAAAACAGAACTACATGTGCAAAGGCACAGAGGCATGAGTAGGTGTTCTGTGATGTCTCTCCCAGCCATAATATTCCATTGATGGTGATCCCTCTCTTCAGTTTAAAAAGGATATCAAAACTCATTCAGGGGACAGGGTGGGAAAAAATGAGTGAAGGTTTATTACAGGTTAGCTTCACATAGTCAAGAGTTACCAGAAACACACCTTTCTCTAGAGTTGCTCTAGAGTGTAGAGAGAAGTTAACCATTGTGTGATGACTCAGACAGTGCTTTATGTCTCCTCTCCCCTGTCCAGTCTGTGTCCTCCTTGGAACACAGCTAGGTATCTGGGCTCCAAACTAGTTTTGTCCAGAATCCATCAGGCAGGAGCTATACTGCTCAGGAGCTCCTTGCTATTCAGCCCTGGGCTGTGAGGGCCTCAGAAGGAAGGTTGCTGAGACCATATCAGGTCCCACCTCCCCTCATCCAGGAACTCCAGAGCCAAGCAGAAGGGCTCCTTGGGGGAAGGGGCGGGGGGAAGGAGGTCCCGGGGCTGGGCTGAGTTCAGCTAAAACTCCACCTCCTACCAACCCCAAGGCTTACAAAGCTATTATCATCGAGACTCGACCCCTTTGCTGATTGCTCAAACCCCCAGAGGCTCTGAAAAGAATTCTCCCTTTCTCTTTCAGTCACTGGAAACCCAAAAGGTAATTTTCTGCTTCCCCTCCTGAAAGAGCCAAGCTTTGGTGTTGGAAGCCATGCTCTCCTGCCCCAGGCAGGATGTGTAAACAGCTTTTTGTATTTCAGAGCCAAAACTTCAGTCTTGGAAGGTTTGGTTCTTAAAAATAATGAAGGGCAGTTACTCCAGACATACACACTGATGCTTAGAGTTGAAGTGCAGGAAGACCCATCATTCTACCATCCCACACCCGTGCCAGCCAAATGGATTCCTCACAACTAGGAGAGGAGTTCTGTAGGCAGGAACTGTGAGCAAATTCCTGCACCTGCTCCCCACACAGCTCTTGGAGCTGGCACAACTCAGCTGGCTGCACAGAAAGACATGGGGCCTCTGGAGCAGCTGAAGGTCTCCAGGATAATCACAAGGATCTCTGAGAGGGGCACTCCAGAGCTCAGCCAGAAAAGGGGGCTAGACAGTGAAGAACCTGTGCTCCCGTAGGGGAGGTGGCCAGTTTGAACTGAACACCAGGACCCTCCCAATCTGGGAAGAGGCCCTAAAAATTAACTGATGGTGTACTTTTCAGCCAGCTTGACAAGTGGAGGCTGGAACCAGATATATTTTGATTTCAATAAATAAATATGACACCTCCTAGCCTCAGGGATGGTGTGGAATAAATTCATACAATTACGGCTAGCCAAAACGTCACCACATTCAAGGCTACATCCTGGGCCTGGATTCCAAGACCCAGTCTCCTTTCCTGATACCTCTCCTGTGCTCTTCTCCACTGGAATGAGGCTGGAGAGTTCCGCTGAGTACCGAGGTTCTTGTTCCAGCTCTGCCACAACTCAAAAATCACTAGCTGCAGCTGAGCATCTGCTAAATGCAATTTTCTATGACTCCCTCTCTGTCTTCCACCTAGGTATACCCTCCTGACTCCTGCTGTCCTGCCTTCCCATCTGTCAGAGCCCACGAACACTCAGGGCAAGTCTTCCCTGTCTGAGGACATCAGAACATCTCCCAGAGTTCAGCATTTTGGCTTCTAACTGGGGCCAGTGTTTCATACACCTGGTGGGAAGTCCTCTCAATCTGGACCCCCCGCCCCCAAACATACACACACAGATGATCCAGAGAGGAAGAAAAGCTTGTTGACAGATCTCGCAGGGAACGGCTGGAAATAAACTTGCTCCTGCAAGGGGCTTACCGGAGCTTGAACACGACAACCTGGGCGACAGGAGCTTAAGGAGATTTCCATTCTAGCCCGACTTTGCCAATAACTCCTCATGCATTTGGGCAAGTCTCTTTCTGGCTCCTTCTTAGGATCTTCATGCACAAATCAAGCAGTTTGAACTTTTGACTCTCCGGATTACCCGGGTCACCACTCCAGGATTCCAAAGTCCTAAACTACAGCATTCTGTTGGTTTTCACGCTAGCGTTTTCGCGTTCAAATGGCGATTTTGAGATACTTTGGCACGTAGCAAAGCTCTTTTTTTGACCCTGTGTCTATAGCCTTCCACAGCCTGCCCTGTCCCTTTCCTTCCCCCTGGCCCCACCGGGCTCAGAAAGAGTGCGGAATTCATTAAAGTGAGGAGAGGGTCTGTAGAGTTACACACCTGCGCCGCCTGCCCCTCCGCGCTTCCGGGCGACCGAAGGTGCTGTTGGGTCTACCACCACCCGGTGCCCACCCCGCCCGGCTCCTGGTCGTCACCTGGAGCCGGAAGCGCTGCGCCGCCTTGGCCATGGTCTCCAGGCCTGCTCGCTGACTCTGTCGGGCCCGGGCCGCCGCGCCCCGCGCATTCCGGCGCCCGGACCAGCGCAGGGCCACGGCCGCCGCCACCAAGCAGCAGGCCAGGGCAGCCCCGGAGGCTCCAGAGAGCGCGGCCCACAGTCCGTCCAGCACCATGATCTCCCGCCGCCAACTGCTGCCGAGCGGAGAGCAACAGACGAAGAATCAGCACGCGCGACCCGACCGCCCGCCACCGCAAAACCCGGCA